TTCTAGTTTTTCTGCAATGAATTTAGTAAAAATTAAAACAAGAAACCGGCTAACAGACACATCAAAACTAATTTAAAACTAGCAGTGACTAATATTTAACCAAATATTTCCAATATATTATGTTTACATATGCTAATAAATAATTGTGATTTACCTGCATTTTTTCATTTTTTTTTTCTTTTTTCTCTTGTATGCAGCCTGCATCAGTTCAAAAGTTTTGAAATGTGGCCCTTACATAGAAAAAAGTTGCCCATCCCTGATATAAGTGCATTATACAGTCAACCCTTGGGTTACGAATGCCCCTGTTTATGAACAAAATTCTGACATCATATTTGCTCTGGTTTCCATATGATAACTCTGTTTCCAAACAAACTGCTTGGCAGAGCCGGCCACAGATGATCAACTTCCTATACTGTACTTCCTATTTTAAAGAAAGTTGATGGTTTAACTGTAGCACACAGCCACAGGCCTTAACATATCAGAAATGTAATGATGCTGTCCAAATCATCAGCTATACAAACAAGAAATGACCAGGATGTGTACTCACTAGCACCCCATATCATTACTCTAGGTGCTGGGCCCACAAGACAAAGATGAATTCAAACTGGCAATGATCGTTCCCCTCAGTGCCTCCACATACAGATATGGCTATCATAATCTGTACACAGAATTGGGCTTTGTCTGAAAAGACAATGTGACACCACTCCTGTGTCCATATTCATCATTGAACATACCATTGTTGGTGTGCCTGTCTCTGCTGCAGCATTGTGCTGATAATCTGTAGTACTGCAGACAGTTGTTCTGAAAATGGCCTAAGTTCCTGACTCGGTATGTCAGGTGGCTGTACGATCCTGCGAAGCCATTGAAAATGATATGTGTCCTCTTGGGTGTTACTGACCAAGGACCGCTGAGATTCCGCACTAAATTCTGTATGGCCTTCCTGGACCATTCAATTCCATATTTTTACGATAGTCATGGCATCACAACCAATGTGAGCAGCAATAGTGTGGAACAATAAACTGCAGTCCCCGTAGGCCACACTTCTATCACGATCAAACTCTGACATGTACTGATAGGCATTTCTCCTTTTTACACAAGGCATAACAAAACCTTTACACAAGCAACCAACGTGCAAATGCAATTTTTGTATGAAAAACCAGCTTTACAGTCTTCCCTTTTATACAGACTGTAGGTGGCCTTACTCCTACCTACTCTGTGAGCATGCATTGAAATGTTAATCATTTGAATATCCCAGCATGTTGTGCCTTTCGTGCAAATTTCACATTTGTTGAATGCTGCCTTCATGGTGTAGCAATTTTAATGGCAAGCAGTGTACTTGTTGGTCTTGTTTTATTTGATTATATTTCATGCAGACAGTCAGAGTTGAGTCTCTATTTATAGCATTTCTTGTAAAGTGTGAAGAATTTCAGTTTCAGTTGGTGGTGATGGAATATTTACCTTTATTTGTTTCAGTTTGAGAACAAATCAGTTTCTGAACGACTTTTAGGAATGAATTATGTTTGTAAACCAAAGTTTGACTGTATGCATATAGAAGAAACAACCAAAACATGTTACAAACAATTAAAACATTGCTAAAAAAAAGAATTCGATATGACTAGTCTTAGATAGCTATGATGATGATTGATAATCAAAACGACAAAACTCAGAAAGGAATGTTCTTATACATACCTCAAGAACCTTTTGATTTGATTCAATACAGAAGATTGCAAGGAATCAGAAACAGCAATGGAAGTAAAAGGAGGTCAAATGCAGATGCCAACTGTCATTTCATTCATACATACTGGGTCTAAATTAAATAATTACACAATAAACCTTAACTCCAGCAAACAAATCTATATTTTGCTAATGTTTTCAACACAAGGGAAAAACTTGATCAATAGGCAAGATGAATGCTGAGTGTGCGTAACAGTGACAATGGTCGAATCCATAACAGTGTACGTATTTTTTCATATGCTAAACTTGTGAAGAATGAAGTTACGTACACTGTTATGGATGCTACCTTTGTCAAGTTAGTCTGCGTTCAGGTTTTGATTATCATTCTAAACAATTTGCTGTAGAACTATGAACATTTGTTGTATGATGTATACTGTAGAAAATGTAATAATGAATATAAATATTAAACAAGATGTTATTTAAAGCAGATTATAAACTTGTTAATAATGTTGTCTTCTGCAAAGAATTGATAAACTAGAAAAAGGAATGTTTTATGTAATAATGAATCCTTTCTTTTTTTGTTATATTAACAAGTTAATTAATTTTAGTTTGATTGTTATTAATATAGGATAATCTGTTTGTAATTATTAAATTTTTAATTGATAATTTTTTTTTCAAAGAATATTAGCAACAAACCATGGTGGAAGGCAAACTTCTTTTTATCAAAACCAGTTTTATTTGGCACATGGGATGGTGTATTTACATCGTGTATGATCAATCTCTTCAGTGTAATTGTCTTTTTACGAATTGGTTGGATAGTGGTATGTAAATTTTCCAAAGTAATTTCAAAGTTGCTATAAATTAATTTTTATCAAATGCAGGGCTGCAACTAGGAGAGCAAATGCGGCATGTGCCAGATAAGGGTTGCCAAGAGGAATGCACTCATGAAAATCTGAATTATTTAGGAAATTATTTGAAAAATAAATTATAAGGCCTACTTTACTGGCTCCAGATGAAGGGAGCTTGAGAGGAAAGTTTGTATAAGGGAATAGTGGCAAATCATCACATCAACATTTCAAATCCCAAAATGAGAGGTGACACTGGCATCTTAGTTTGGTTCAGGTAACAGAAAACCTAGTTACAGTCCTGTTAAATATGCAAACAATAAAACATAAAAATATCTATTGTAATCTTTAATAGATATATTTTAGATACATGATCAAACTGAACAAAGTCACTACAGATGTGATTTTGTTTAGTTTGTTAGCATCCGATTTATTCTGATGGATTGCTTTGTGTGTAATTATAGCTTGTTATAATGTTACAGTTATATGTTTTGTTTTCTAAGACTGTTTGGGGGACTGTATTTCTAGTGTAATTGCAGGATATGTACATACAGTTTATGTTTATGTGCATGCTGTGGATTTCTTATGTTTGATATTTGGTTATATTGATGTGAGTATTCAGTTTGTGTTGAAAGCTTGAAACTTGATAATGTATTTTATACTTTCGTGCATAATGTAGTATTTACTAAAAGTGTTGTCTGTAAATGTTATCTTTTAAAAATGTTCTTTTTGTAGTTTGTGTTTAAGACCTGGTCTTGTATGGCAATCATAAACTCTTCCGTCCTTCCAAAGAGGCATCTGTGAGTCACAGTGGCATACCGTGGGTGTCAGCTGCCCGGGGCGGAGGAAAATTTTGGTCCCCCTTCAATTTAAAAGACCAAAATTCAGTTTTGTCACAGAACAAGCAATGAAAAATTCGGTACCTGTTTTTTTAAAAAAAATTATATTATCCTGTGTATATATGTAATTTTAATTATCTAACTATTAATTATTATAAGTTAGAGTATAAGATGTATCCCCATTTTAGCACGTGGTAAAAAAAATATGGTATTACTTGCTAATAAAAAAATCCAGCAATGAGTTGCTTAACTTTCCCAGAAACATTTAAAACTCTGTGTATAGCACCATCTGTTGTTATATTTTATTATTAAAATCTTTTTATATTTTATAAAATGGCAAAAAGCTTAATTTTGAGGGTAGGGATGGGTTTTATAAAAAAACTATAAATGCTAATAATGAGTAAAATCGTCATTAATTCTGACCCTACTCGAGATACGACAGATGATCCCCCTTTATTTTCCCTTCCTGTCAACTTTTAACAACCAAAATTTAATAGCATCAATGCCCCCAATAAACAAACCTCCCTACAAAATTTCAGAAATTTTTGACAAAGTTAAGCTTCAAAGAAGGTAAAGAGATCATGCTTTGCAAACATATACATGCAGTAACATTCATATATATGGAAAACCCCCCAAATATTTTTGCATTTCTCAGCATTTCAAGGTGTCGCGAGCCCAAAATTGTAAAAATTATGGGGTCATTTTTTGACAAATCGCCATACTTTCACTCTGTTATGTATAACAGAGCTGGGAAAGTAATGATTAAATAAAAATAAATGTTTTAATGCGAAAGTTTTGAATTTTATTAATATTTCATATTTTGCAAAATTATATTTCTATAAAATTTTTTCGAAAATAATTATTTCTGAAATTTAAATATATTATTAATTTTATATCAGTTATAATATAAAAGTTTACATCATTTTTAGGACAAAAAGTATGGCGAGTAAGACAAAATCAGAAGTTCCTTCCGTTAACTGGGAACGTTACGGATTAAGCAGCACTCCAACTAGCAGTGCAGTAGAACAATGGAAAACTGACGAAGATCAGTTTTTAAATAAAGAATATTCAGATAAATGGGAATTGTTTCATGAAGATCAGGTAATACATTTAGAAAACTTAATTTTATAATATCAAAATTTTAAGTTTATATTTAGATAGATAGATATCGTAAGCCAAATATTATTTTGAATTATATTGATTTATAAAATAGTATTGTGAGAAGCCGAGGGCCATAGGGTCTATCCCTGATGACCACTTAATCGGCAACAGTCTGCAAAGACTGCACACGTTGTTGTTTCAGAGGGCTTTTTATTGAGTGGCGAGGAGGTAAACAAGTCGACAGGTGTCCGTGTTTTGGAGTGACAGGAGACAGGTTTTTAACAAACAACAAAAAGAAAGTTTATTATACAGCTAAACCTATGATACATATAACTAAACCTAAGATTAGATGCAGTTAAATGAGGTTGCGTATACACCTCTATGGAGTGGATTGACAAAAGTTTCTAATCAGCTCGCATGCTGACCTAATGACCTAGCTCTGTCGCTACTTTTGCTAAGAGAGAGTTTACAAGAATCTATAGATACCTCAATATTCGATGGTCAAATTAGATGACGTTTATTCGATCGGAGAGAGACGAATTCGAAGAGGACTGGTGATTGTATGGCAGGTCTTCTTATCATTGACTTGCATGGGCCGGGACAGTCCGTTCATGGAGGTCCACTGAACTTAGCACCTAGTTGTCAATTACTCAGGCACTAATTAATCTATTCACCTTCCTTCGAACTTGTATGGGACAGCCATGCCCGGAACTTCGATGTTTCCACCTTTTATGCTTGGTTCCTGGGAAAATGATCATGTGATCTACTATTGACATGTCGAAAGTTCATTCCCAGGTGCGAGCATAGGTTTCTTCCGATAATGTTTACTAGCAGCTGTTCCTCTTTCACGATCAAATGTTTTCCTGTTTCCATCTTGTTGTCAAAATTTCTCTCCATTTGTTTAGAGAGAACATCATGTGATCCATTCTAGAGCAATAGTTTTTTTATAACAGTCGTGTTAAGAAATTAAATTACAAAGTCGTAATTTTGCGCAAAATTCTCCCATTCCTCCACTTAGGCTGTAGATAGGCCTGCGGGCTCACAGTATAATTGGATCTGCCAAATATTTTATCATAAGTATATTACCAAATTCCAAAAAATTAATCAATAAAATTGATCAGATGATAAACATTTTACGTTTATTGAGCATGTTTTAACATTAAGTAATTAAAAAAGATTGACACTGAAATGAATCTGGACAAAACTAGCATGTGGTGGTTGTGCAGATTACAACATGTATAGTTAATTACTTAATGAAGCTTGAAGACATGTACCAAGAGGAGAATCTGTCTAAACAAAGATTGATAAGTAGTCATTCAGCTTCTTGGAGCAGAAGCTCATCAGGTTGCAGAGATACTTAGATGAATGCAAGCTGTTTTTGGTACAATATGTACCAAAAACATGTGTGTTGAAGGTGACGATGGTGGATTGTATCCATGTTTTGCAATGGAATACACTTGGACAGATGGATTCATTCATTTGCAGTGGACATTCTGAACATTGGGTCTAGGTATACAATACTATTCTGATGAGTTAACCATTCAGTTGAAGTAAATTTTTGGTCACTATGCAATATCATTCTCTATGTTTTCCTATCTTGGACAGCCAGTATGTTCTTTGATGTCTTCTTGACCTACTAATCATGCCAAGCATTAATGTTAAGGGATATTAAATACTATATGTTATGTTGCCAATAGGTTCTGTATAACTGTGTGACAAGAAACAATGATTGCTGTGACACTGGAACAGTTATTGTATTATCTTATAGAGAATAATGCATTTCTCGTGAAAATTGTGGCAGGAGATAAGATATGATATCAAATTTAATCTCCTGCCACAGGGAAAGCTGCAAACATGTAATGGATGCATGTTGGTTCATCATAACTAAAGAAATTCAAAGCACAACCATCTGCTAGGAAAGTAATGCTTACTGTGTTATTTGACATCAAAGACTATTAAGCAGTTAGGATTTGTGCTATCTGAAAATTATAAATGTACAGTATATACAGTACATATAAATTGACAAACTTTATCAAAATATTTACAAAATTTATTAAAATATATCTTTTATTATATCTAGATGATATAAGTTAGGGGTGGACAACCCACGGCCTGCATTAATATTTTTGCAGCTTGCATAGTATAAAATATGAATAAATATCAATTTTCCAGCTTAAGGAAGTATATAGCAAAAATTCAAACACTATTTTCTGCAACTTAGGTATGTGAGCAATTTTTCTTGCATTGAATTTAGTAAAAATTAAAACAAAATTGGCTAACAGACTTACATTGAAACTAATTTGAATCTAGCAGTGACTAATATTTAACCAAATATTTCAAATATACAGTGGGTGATTGGTTAACGAACATAAACCGTTTCAAGACTTTGTTCAATATCCGAATTGTTTGTTAACCGATTATCGATATACCATAGGTTTTAATGGGAATTTAATTAATTTGTTCTGGAGACTCCAAAAATAAAAAAATATATACTTTCTTACATTTATTCATATGTAATAATAAAAATACATACATACACAGTCTTGCGTTTTTATTAGTCATGTTTTTTCCGTTTGTGGGGTTAAAGAATCTGTCTAATGTCGAATTGCTTTTCTCTCTTCTTCAGGATTTTTCATAAGTAATTAATAGCATTGCAATTGTAGAAATTCCCAAGCCTCAATTTGGTTTGGATGCCATTCTAAGACCGTTGTTCTGACATCCTTTCACTTCTTCAAAGGATCTTTAATAGCAGATATCGGCATTAATCCTCTTTTTCAGAAGAAAACATATCTCGCCGAGTTTCTTGGTGTTCTTCATTCAAGAGTTCTTGGCGTTCTTCTGTCGTCAGATCCGTTTCAGGTTCCATTATGAACTCTTCGATGTTCTTTATTTCTCAGATGTGATTTTTGTTACTCCTTTAGCTGCTTGAGTCTTCTTGATTATACAGTATTTTTCTTAAATAAGATTGAACTGCGGCCTACTGTAGACCTGTTCACGCCATACTGCCCAGCAACATTAGGCATCTTCTGCCCACTCTCTACCTTTGCTATTATACTCTCACCTTTCGAAAAGAAAAACAGACGCAAAACTTAACGAGTGCCTACCCGACAGTCTCGCGAATACATAAAAGAATTGTTTTGTCAGAAAAATAAAAGGCTGGAATTACAAGGGAGAGTTTCAAAGTTCGGAGGAATACTATCCGATCGGTATATACCAGCTTGAGCATCAATGTGAACATCTCCCACACTCCAAAAAGTTTCAAATTGTTGCCCGAAGACAAGGGAAGTCCAATCGGTATTCATTATTTTATGTCGCTTCTTCTTGTGTTTGTTCTGTGGGGTGTTCGTTATCTGATCATGTGTTCGTTGTCCAAACATAAAAATCTTTCGCGGAAGTGTTCGTTAACTGATCACCCACTGTATTACATTCACATCAGTTCCAGAAGACAAATGAAATATACCTATGCTAATTTATAATTATATATGAATAAATAATTGTGATTTACCGGCATTTTTTTCCCTCTTTTCTCTTGTATGCGGCCTGCATCAGTTCAAAAGTTTTGAAATGTGGCCCTTACATAGAAAAAAGTTGCCCATCCCTGATATAAGTGCATTATACAGTCAACCCTTGGGTTACGAATGCCCCTGTTTATGAACAAAATTCTGACATCATATTTGCTCTGGTTTCCATATGATAACTCTGTTTCCAAACAAACTGCTTGGCAGAGCCGGCCACAGATGATCAACTTCCTATACTGTACTTCCTATTTTAAAGAAAGTTGATGGTTTAACTGTAGCACACAGCCACAGGCCTTAACATATCAGAAATGTAATGATGCTGTCCAAATCATCAGCTATACAAACAAGAAATGACCAGGATGTGTACTCACTAGCACCCCATATCATTACTCTAGGTGCTGGGCCCACAAGACAAAGATGAATTCAAACTGGCAATGATCGTTCCCCTCAGTGCCTCCACATACAGATATGGCTATCATAATCTGTACACAGAATTGGGCTTTGTCTGAAAAGACAATGTGACACCACTCCTGTGTCCATATTCATCATTGAACATACCATTGTTGGTGTGCCTGTCTCTGCTGCAGCATTGTGCTGATAATCTGTAGTACAGCAGACAGTTNGCGAATGAATCGTACAAGAAAAAAAAAGGTCAGCAGGTTTTGCAGGATTTCCTCGGATGAAAAAATTACCGATTCTCAGACTGTCCGGACAATAGCACTATCGTAGGCGCGATGCAAGTATAGATTAGGATGTTTCAAATTTTTACAAGATATTATTATTATTTATTGTGAAATTTTGCTGCCCCTAAAAAGTGCCGCCCGGGGCAGGCCGCCCCTGCCGCTCCCACTACAGTACGCCACTGGTGAGTCAGCCAGTAGTTTGATGCAATTCTATTATTGTGATCCTGGCTACTGAGTTGCTAGCAAATAGCATATAATCAGTAATTACACACTATTTGCTGTTATTGGCATAAGATAAATATTTGACATAGCTTAGACAAATAAAACTCTTATTCCCTACATGATCAAAAACAAAATAACTGATTAAGGTTGTTTTACTTTGTTTGACATTTAATTTTTATACTAGTTGAAAATAAAATATATTGACTTAATGACAGTAGTATATCAAACAATTGTTCAAATTTTCAAAATTAAGATGCGTGTTCTGATAATATGATAAAACTGGGAGGATTGGCACAGGAGAAGGTTAGATAGAAAAAAATAACATTGAAAATTTACTACTAAACAGTGTATTTTGTTAAAATTATTTGAAAATGTTTTAAATTAGTTATAATAATAAAACAAGACTCAGTTAATTGATAAAGTACTGTTTATCATGAGTATTTTGATTTTGTTTTTTAGGCTTTTTTCGCAGGAGATATGTAAACAACAAAGATAAAAATAGGCAGAAAAGAGTTTAAATTACTAATTTTTTTCAATTGCTTTATCAAGTTTTATTATATTTCATAGTAACATACGGTTCTGTATCGATGCAAAAATCAGTTTTCCATATTTTATCGCACAGTTCTATAAAATGTTTAGAAGTAAACAGTGTCCCATTTTATCATTTTCAACTTTACATATGAACTGGTCTTTGTGTATTGTTTAGTAACAAACAATCTAAAATAGATTAAGAAAAAAAAACAGGTGGTATATTCAGGTTAAAGGGACATATGCTCCATTAAGCAGGATTATAGAATTCACTTTTTGTGTTTAAAAAATATAAAAATATACAATATTGAAGACACATACAAAAAATTTTGTTTGTATGTGTCTTCAATATTGTATATTTTTATATTTTTTTAAAATCACATTTTGTGATTTCAAAAATTGGGTTTGTTGAGGAGTTGTTTATATATAATTATTCACAAAATCTCACTGTATCTGTATTTAATATTGTTCAATCTATTGGACAATGGGTTTAAGACAGACAGAATTACAGAGTGAACTTGTATATTCAGCTTGTTTTGATGTATGTGTCACGAAGTTTGAGGTGTGACTGATTTGTATTATTAGGATGTAAATGTTTTGGTAGAAGAAACTAATGGGCTGCTAAAATATTCATTTGGTGTGCTGGTGGAAATTGAATGATGTTGAGTCACTATTTAACACTTTAGATGAAGTATAATTGAAGTTTTATTTACTAATATATTATAATTTATTCATAGGGAAATGCTGGAATAATACAGAGTGTAGCAATTGTTTTGATGACTGTAATAATTTGTACAATAACAGCATTAGCAGCAATTGGAATATGTGAACGCTGTCATGTCGAAAGTGGTGGTGTTCATTTCATAATTGCTCATGTTTTAGGAGCACAGTTTGGTGGAGCCGTGAGCATTGTATATTGCTTTGGACAAGTAAGCATTAAAATACAGGTATCCCTTGTATAAATTGGTAATTAATCTATGTATTTAGCAAAATTTATTTAATCTATAAAAAGAAAACAAACATTTACAGTCTTAAGGGCTTAAGTCTGAAAGCAATGACAACGACACCTGATTGATAGGAAAGTTAGGGCAATTGTTTTCCTTATTCTGTGAACTTACATTAAAGTAAACCTGATGAAAAGAATAAAATAATTTGAAAGTTTCAATATTATAAAATCTGTGATAAAATTTGAGACAAAACATACACTTGCTCGAATAAAAAAAATATCAAATAATGAAGTTTACACTTAAAAATTGTAAAATTTTGTATGGAGGATTTCTAAAGCCGTGTCGTACGAGGGATACCTGTACTTATTATTACTTATATATTTTTTTAAAATCAAATTTTAATAATTTATAGTTTAATATAATAATTGAATTTGATTTATTATTGAAATTAAGAAAAACTTTTAAAACATTATCATAATACTTATCATTTTAATGTGATTAACAAGTCTTAAATCAAATTTCTATAGTCACACTAATATTTATATTTCCTAACATGGTTTCAATAAGTTTGAGTTGTATTAAGTAAAGTTCTTCCATTCTTTTAGTGGTTTGGTTTCCCTTGCTTTTCGTCTTCACAGTGTATATGTGCGCCAAATGGAGTGTTCTTTATTGAACAAATGGTCTTATATGCTACAAATGATTACACATGTCTGTGATACTTGAGTCTAACTAGATTATGAAGCTTACTTCTATAGACTTTTAAATAAATTTATTTAATAGTAGCTGTACCCGGCCACGTGTTGCTGTGGCTCAAAATGTATCTATTATAAATGTATAACACTCCATGTGGGAGGGAATTTCGAAAAATTCCTTCTTAGTGTACATTCTCTTGACGTACCCTATTAAAACACAATCAAAAATGCAAAAAATTGCGTCTAAAATAGTATAATAGAAGCCGAGTTCTTCACAGTAAGCCTTAATTTTGTCCCTCTCCCCTGCAGGGTGAATTTCAACATTTATCTATATAAATAAAAATGTAAATGTTCGTTTGTTCAAAATCTTAAATAATCTCCAAAAGTTCTTAACTGATTGGTTTGAAATTTTGACACAATGTTGCATTCGAATACGCATGTGCTTTTATATTATATAAATGTCAAAATTCCCACCCCCGCAGGGGAGAGGGACAAAATTAAGGCTTACCGTGAAGAACTCTGCTTCTATTATACTATTTTAGATGTGGTTTTTTGCGTTTTTGATTGCGTTTTAATAGGGTACATCAAGAGAATGTACACTAACAAGGAATTTTTCGAAATTCCCTCCCGCATGGAGTGTTATATATTTATAATAGATACATTTTGAGCCACAGCAATGCATGGCTGGGTACAGCTAGTATAATATAAAAACACGCATGTATTTAACATTGTGTCAAAATTTCAAAGGAATTGGTTAAGAACTTTCAGAGATTTAAGATTTTGAACAAAAGAACATTTACATTTTTATGTATATAGATAATGTTGTATGAAAAAAATACAAAACAAAAACTACACACAAAAAAGTGATAGCCCCAGCAATGTGAGATGACAGATTGGGAAAACCTGCTGTAATATCCAAACTGTTTAAGATTCCATCTTCAGTCTGTTCTCCCTTCAGTTCTGGTACCAAGTGTCTCTTCTCTTTTTTCTTTCTCTCTTTTCCTTTTCTCTTAGTAGCTTATTCTCACTTATTTGTTTTCTATCTTCCTTGCATTCTCTCCAGCACCTTACAGGAAACAGGCTCACACTTATCTGTTTTTTTGACTTGAAGAGAAGTAATATTGATCACCTGGCAATATTACTTCCACTATTAACCATTATTGGGACAGTAATAAACTACAAAAAATTGTTATAAATTGTGATAGATTGGTTGAATAGATACAAAAATCAATGTGTAATATCAATAGTATTCATTTTTATGTATCTAGCTTATTTCTGATTGCAATGTTTCTATTAAATTTTACTGGATCATAGACTACTAATTTGTTACAAAAAGATATTCCCACAATGAGTCGTTTACATTATCCAATAATTATTTCTAATATCTGCTTTCTTTCACCATTATTTCTATGATTCTCTCTCTCTCTCTCTCTCTCTCTCTCAATGAAAACTTTAATATTGTTTTTCCTATCCCATTTATTTTTATGCTTTTGTATCCTATCCTATTAATCTCTATATCACATCCAGTTCCTCTTTCTGCTGGTAATTAATTATTATAATTATTATAACAACTTCCCAACTCAGAGCATGTTCTACTAATCAAAATGAAACAACATTCAGACAATAGGTATTTCAGATGGTGCACTCGCCATTTATTAAATAAAATTTTTTTGTACAAAAAGTCGCCTATAGCGGAGATCTCTCTGGGAAATTTTAAAAATCGCCAATTGTTTAGCCAGTTTTTAAATCATTTGAAGTAGCGAAAAAAATTATCACCACCAGTTTTACTTACTAATAAATGGAGGCGCAAGTAGCCTTGTTGGTTTGGAGTCTGGAAAACAAAAGTAACTTGTTAAGGCGTTACTTAGAAATAGGAATTGTTTTTGAATAATTTTTAATGAATAATTCCAAATAACACATTTTGTCACAATGGTTAAATAGTATTTCACATGTTCTGTTTTGTGTAAAATGTGCAGTCAAAAAAATTCGAAGGATTAAATCTGACACAGATGCGCATCTTCCATGGTAGAGCTGATCCTTCAAGAAACCTCATAACCAGAAGTCGCATGGTGTGAGATCAGATGAATGAGGAGGCTAAGTTGTTGGGAAGTAATGGCTGATCATCTGTTCATCTGCGAAAATCCATTTAAAGTGGTGTACCATCTTGCATGAATACATTATCCTGAGGCACGTGCATTGTTTAAACTTTGTGATCGCAAAAGTTGTCAACACGTTAAGATATCATTATCCAGTGATGGAACAGGTTCAGACTCTGTTGCCTACATACTGGAGCTATGCAATTGGTGTGAAAACTTTTTATTTAATAAATGGCAAGTCAAATTTTGTCTCCAGCAGTAGCAGTAGAACATGTTCCAGAACCCTCTGAGTTGGGAAAATTAAATACTCTACAGCAACAGTAATAGTTAGTTTAACTTGAAACTTCGTTATTCATTTCTTACATTTTTTTCTCTTCTCATTTCTTCATTATTGACTCTTACATTCCCATTTTTTGAAAATATTGACTCCATCATCACACAAATTCCCAAAAGCTATCAAATTAAAATTGTTATCTGAATATCAGAGAAACTCAGATATTTGAGCTATGAAATTTATTGACATTAATAAAGATCTAATTCATTTAGTATCATAAAAAAATAATTAAATTAATAATACTTTATTAATTTTTTCATTAGGCAGTGAGCTGCGCTTTACACGTGATAGGTTTTGCCGAATCCGTATCCCAGTTGTTAAAAATTGCAAATATATGGTTGCAGCGATTAATAGCAACGTTGTTAATAATTTTACTTCTAGGTGAGTGATTTTGACAATAGATGTAATTAATAAAATATGCCCTATTATCTGTGTATTCGTTTTAAAACTAATTTTCTTTCTTTAAGGTATCAATCTTGCCGGTGTAAAATGGGTTATCCGATTACAGTTTGCACTTTTAATTGTTTTACTCTTAGCAGCTCTGGACTTTGCCGTTGGAACATTTGTACATATTAATCCAGGTATTCTATCAAAGTACTGTATATTCTGAATATTTTCAATGTTATTTGAATACATATTTAGTTATTAAATTTCAAAACTCATAATAGTTTACAAACAGCTAAATTAAATATATTTTTTTAAACAAGATTTATTAAAGTACATATTGTAGATGTCATATTTTGTCAAAATACTTTAATGTTAATAATAATGAATGTTTTGGATAACTGACGTAATTTAGGACAACTGTTGGAATACAATACCGTAAGTATATTTGAGAGGTAGAGGGGCATGTACAATGCGTATACAATATTAAAATATTATATATGCATGAACAATATATAACTCAGAGACCCTCTTTCAAACTTTTATTGACCTCTAAGGGGTTTATACCGACCCTGTCAGGAAGCCCTGCTAAAGGCGATGCATGTTTTATAGTAGTGAGTATACATACAATGCACAAAAAGTGAAAAATGTCATAAAATTATTAATTGAATAAATTCCACGGAATGAGCAAATTTGGCAAAAATGAGTAAAAAGGGTCCTATTGGGGAAACACACGTAAATACTCGATATTATGTCAATACTATGAAGCAAAAGGAAAGATCAATTGCTCCAAAATCTGCCCTTTAGTAATTACATAAGGCATGTTAAAAATTGGGTCAAAAAATCAAAATATGTTTAGGATATAAAGAAATTTATTTAATATTTTTAAAAATAATCACTCCAAACTTCAATACTCTTGAATGATTTCTCCAATTCAGAAAACATTTAGAAAATTCAGCTTCTTTTAGGAAGGGTTGCCAAAGAATGAAAGTTTCAACTTCAGAAGGAAAATGGTTTTAGTTACTAGAACTCATATGAGTCAAAAAACTGAGTTTCCTAAATATTTCTTAAGCCAAAGTGTATTAAAGCTTGAAATAATTTTTCTGAAAATTTGTATGGAAATTTAATAACATGTTTGGTTATTTTTTGCTCGCCCTATAACTTCTTGAATACATCTCTTATTTAATGAATATGTTTTGTAATGCTTGAAGACAGAATAGAGTCCGCTATCTTGGAAAATATATTTGTAAATACAGTATATCTTCCAAGATAGTGAATCTACTCCACGATGATCATTCAATAGCTGTTAAGAGAGCCTTAATAGAGTGTGTATATCCTATCTGGATTATATCGGGCTATAATATGGCTATCGTTTTAAAAACTAAATACTCAGTAAATTTGCCAAGCAAGTAAGCATTAGGTGCCATCTCTTGATAAATTTAATAATAAATTAATTAGTTTTTAATTTAGAAAGTTCCAGAAGAAAAAACTCAAACCCACAACTCCCATATACTGTGCATGCATTGCCAGTTTATCCAGACCCTTATTTGATCTTTACCTCCAGAATTATTAACAATTCAGATATAACCATACTGGTTACTCATAGCACCAATATAATAGCCCTGTATAATCCATCAGATTATTTGTCTTTAATCAAAAATCAGGTTAATAGATGTTTATATTTCTATCATACTTGTATCACATCATCATATAAAATATTCTCATAAAGGATATTCATATATATTTATTTTATATCGAGCACATTTTAAAAATATTAAATTAATTTGTTTTTACAGAGAGTGGAGTAACCGGATATAATTTAAATAATTTTTATAACAACTCTGGACCTCAATATCTAACAGGAGAAAACTGGTTTACAGTCTTTGGAATATTTTTTCCTGCCATGACTGGTATTTTAGCAGGAGTTAATATGGGTGGTGACCTGTACAATCCTTCCAAAGACATACCTGTTGGTACCTTGGCTTCCATTGGAACTAGGTAATGACCATGATGATAATATAACATAATATATATTATTTCATATAACTTAGATAAATTGTATAGTAATATTTTAATTTAGGATTCAATATAATACTATGCTGCCCGATGCTACTAATAATTAAACAATCCTAATCAATAAGTAATTGGAATTTTTTGTTATTTATAATACATTTATCAATATTAAAAAGAAAAATGCTTGAAAATAGTTTTTACAATAATGCCAGTTAGATAGCATTCTTTGTAAATTTGAATAGCATGCTTCTAATTATGAAATTTGTTAATCAGTAATTAAAATAATAATGTACAAACATCCCAAAGCTTGATATTTTAGTAATATGCTAAACAACTGTTGGAGAGGTGACGCATAACGCCTACCTGTAGTACCAAATCATTTAGAATTTGTTTAAAATTAACAGTGGCAAAGTAGCCCGATTTTAATCTACACTCATTTGACATAAAATAATAATGATAATTTAATAACGTTGTCTTGATAATTAGTGATACGTAACTCTCAATATCATTCTTCAGTCCTTAAAAAGATTTTCTGCTTACAGAAGAATTACAACAAAAAACAGAAAATGAAAAATTCTTTGTGTATTGATTCTATTCCCAAAAGGTCATTTGTAGAAGATGTAAATGCCACCAGTATTGATGGGAGAGTTTTCCTTTCTTTTTATGCACTGTATTATATAAAATTAAAAAAATAAATAAAACTATGAAAAAGTTTTTGAATTAAACTGTTGGTTTGGTCTCAGAAATGTTTAGGACACAGCAGTACTCTAACTAATCAGTTGTGTCTTCGTGAGAAGAAATTCCTCTTAAGTAAGTACATTGAAAATAATCATATTTATCAATGATAATTCTAATAAAATATCAAAACAAGTTTCAAATTGTGTAAGTTTTAGTTTTACGAGAACAAAGTCAGAATTATTCGACGCAGTTTTATTGATAATGGAATGAAAACTTTATGCCATTGTGTTTACAAGTGATGTTTTACTGAACTTGTTTTTTTTGTTGGTTATTGACCCTATTTTCTGAGATGTTTTTTACTATGGAAAATTTTTCTATTTTCCTTCCCCTTTTCAGCTGTAAATTTTTGCAAGTAGGAACCCGGTTTAGTGTTTTCAAATTCTAACGATTGTTCTTAAAATAGTTGATAAATCAATTCTATGAATAATATTATGTGTATAATAAATAAGTCTAAATATACAAAGTGATTCATTTGGATAATTTGAAAGCTAAGTCATAATAAATGGATTAGTTGTAAAAGTTATGCACCATGGTGTTGTTGGAATTGAATGAAACTTAATTACCTGTATTAGTTTAGCATGTTTTATAAAGAGAGATTAAACAAATTAATGAACAAAGCCCAAGCTTAATCTATAGCAGTAATGCCCAAATTTTTCAATTGGTGAGCCAAATTGCAAGCAAGTAGTAAGTAGGCAAGCCAATAATGGGTTTATTTTCAACAATTGATGGCAGTACTGTTGCTGTAAAAACTATGCAATTAGAGCCGGACCTCCATTACAATCCAAGCACAAAATAAGTCACGTGATTAAAAATAATTATGGTGAGGATTTTTACTCTTTATTTTATGTTAGTGGAGTCTCGACCTAATGCTTTTCAGAGTTTGAATTTCATATAACTAATCCATTTATTATGACTTAACTTTTAAATCATCTGAATGAATTTAGCAAGCCATAAATACTTTGTATATTCCATATATACAAAAAGTAGACTTATAAGTATACTTTTATATGTTATACATTGATCTTATCTTTCCTGAATATAAAATCTTCCAACAGATTAGATGACTTTAATATCTAAGCAAAAGTTTCATTACTAATACTAAGTAGGGGATAGCATTTGGTATGAAAGTTTTTTTTTTTTTTTTTTTTTTTTTTTTTTTTTTTTTTTTGTATGCACTGAAGATGGCCTGAAGTGAGGCCAAAGATTTTCAAATAAATAAATAAAATTACATATCTCACTTTTACAATTATAATTTGGAATTTTTGTTCGATCCCAGGGGAGGACAAAGTGCCTCATTTGTCTCCCTCTCTGCAGATTGTTTAGTGCTCCGCCACTTATTGGTTGTTCTTAGTATTGTATATAAATATTATTTGTATAGTTATTATCATTTGTACTAGGCTTAAGTTTTATTTTTTTCAATTGTGTCGGTCTTTTTTTGTTGCTTTGTGTTTGTTGTCTGTTCAGACACGTGTAATCCTTACTCTCTACCTCCCTCCTTTGTTTGAAACCGGACCTTTTGATTGGCTACCGAAGAGGTCAGGTGGGCTTGGCAAACCAGGGGTATATATAGCAGGTACATGTGTGTGCCAGGGATCTTTTCCTTTTTTCCTTCCGTCTATGAATGATTGCTGTTCATAAAGGTTCAGATAATGCCATCGAGAAAAGCCGAAACTTACCAAAGGAGAAAGGGTTCGAACATCGAGAGAAGGGGACAGAATCGAAGTTCATTCGTGCTGTACACAGAAGAAACTGAGTGGACTGTACAATTAAAGAAGCTATAATACCCGAGACATTGACGGTAGCGAAGATTTCCCGACTAGGAATAGACGTTGGCCTGGTACCTGATCATTTAAGTGCCGGATTTTCTAGTGAGTAGACTGTTAAACAAACCATTCTTCGCGTGTTAATGTGACGAGTCTGAACTGTGTTACGCTACGCGAAGGAGGAAGGAGAGTGAAGGGATTAGTAATATTGAATTCTGGGACACGTGGTTGTGTAGATGAGTCTTTGTTGAGAGTTCATATGAGCCCTCATTTGCTGAACACAAACCCTGTGTTAAATAAAGTGATAATTTGTAAGCCAGCTATTTTGTTTGTGTTGGCTTGGTAGACCTCGGTCTAGCACAGTCAAATTAATTGATTATTCTATTACAAATTAGCTTTCTAATAAATAGTGAATACCGATAATTAAGTATTAACTTTAAAAATGACTATATTAATGCAATTATGTTTTAGTTTGTTTATCTACATGATGTTCATAATGGGATTAGGAGCAACTTGCGAAAGGCACGCCCTTCAAACAGATTATCTAATAGCCGAAAAAGTAAATATGCTTTTTTTTTAATTTTTTAAAATATTAAATATAAATTCGGGTATATAAGATTTTATTAAGAAATTGTGTTGACAGGTTTCAAGTTTAGGTGTTATGTTTCTGGCTGGGTTATATATTTCTTCTATGTCAACTTGCTTGGGTTCTCTCTATGCCACTCCGAGAATCATCCAAAGTATAGCAAATGAAAAAGTCATACCTTTGATAAAATTTTTAGCACACGGAGTAATCGATCATTTTAAAACTTTTGTAATTTTTCTTAAAAATTTAAATAATTCTAATTTATATTATTATATTTAACAGAAAGGACCAAACAAAGTTCCGGTTTTTGCACTTATATTGTTTTCTGTCATCACAGTCATTTTCATATTGATTGGAGAAATAAACACCTTAGCGCCGATAGTGACGATACCATATCTTCTGACTTATGCAGCCATAGAGTATGCATATTTTTCGTTAGCGATGACTTTTGATATGCAGAGACAGAGAGAAGAAAAATTTGGCAATCAACAGTTGCTCAGTCCAGATTTCGTCGCACAGAGTAACGGTTTTGCAACTGACATAACAACAGGGAAAATTATCATGTACGGCAGTACTAATAATAGTAAGGTAAGTTTAATGTTTAGGTTAAATTTTTCATTCTCATGCAAATTTAAATATGAATCTAAATTATTCTAGTATGGCGATTTGGATCATTTATTTCCCGAAAGATTAGGACGCAAAAGCATAAGTCACCGAGGTAGTCAGAGCACCATTACGGAATCACCTCTCACTTCGCCTGATGATCATAGTTCTGTGTGTACGGCGGCAAGTAAGGATACGGAAACGAGTAAATCCCATGCAGATTCTGCGAGTAGCCTTTTAGGGAAAGGTATATTATTAAGGTGATTATTCACATATATTTGATCTAGTTTTATAAAATGATTAAATTTTTCTATCGTAGGAAGATTGCCAATTCCAGAGATTACAAGCAAGTCATCTAGGTGGTATTCATATTTGTCTAATCGATGGATTGCTTTTCTTGGGGTAAGTTTAATATTGATATTACTTAATACTACGGTGGACATAAGTATTGACTCAAGTCAATTTTGACCTTTTTTGCTGTCAGCCAATTTAAAAATCAGTAAAAATAACACAAGAAAATGAGCTAATAGCAATTTTTATTTTAAAAAATTAGCAGTAACTTACTTTCATTTTATGGTGATAAAAATAATCTGGCGTAGTTATTAACTGGTTTTTCAATTAGTTTCGACTGAATATTTTCTGTTTATTTAATAAATTTGCATGAATTCATTGCTCCAAAGTAAACATTGCTACTTACATAACTATCCAGCATAGTAAGACCATAATCCAGCTACACTTTGGTAAATGCACTTTGAGTGCATTTTACTTTCTCAGCTCTGTTATATATAACAGAGGAAAAGTATGGCAATCAGTCAAAAAATAATCCCTGTCAAGATTTTTAAAATTTTTGGACTCGACCTTGAAATATCAAGAATAGCAAAAATATTTGGGGATTTTTCCTCCATATGTTAGTGTGCGGGGCATAATTTTGTTCATCGTCTTTGAAATTTCATAACTCCTGTTCTTTTTGTCGAAAATTTCTGATATTTTGCAGGAAGGTTTGTTTATTGGGGGAGGATTGACGCTGTTAAATTTTTGTGGTTGAAGGTCACTGGGTGAGGAGATACGGGGGGGACATGTGGCATATCTCGAGTAGGGTCTGTTAATGACAATTTTACTCATTATTAGCTTTACAATTTTTTATAAAACTCGTCCCCACGCTCAAAATTAAGTTATTTGCCATTTTATAATAATTAAAAATATAAAAAGTTTCTAAATAAGATATGATAACAGTTGGCACCATCAAATGTTGCTTGGAATTTTAAGCAACTTGTTGCTGCATTTCTTCACTATAAACACATTCTGAACTTTGAAGCATCGTTCAAACTCTGAAACGTTTGAATTTAGAGCCATTTGAAGTATGCGTTACCATTGTATTCATTTTGAATTGTTTTAATATCATTTTGGTAATTTGAAACAATAAACTTGTTGCCAAAAAAATCATCTGATCATTGTATATTGATAATAGAACAATATGTTTGAACAAATATAAGATTACTATTTGCATAATATTTGTCAAATGTACTTTTTTTTTTATTTCTTTATTAAATTTGTACATTCACTGTCGTGCAATATTACGTTCTCATAGATTTATTAAAATGTACGTTCCATCTGCAATTTTATATTATCAAAATTTAGTAAACTAGCAAACTGCTTGATATTGATTTTTACGAAGTATTATAAAAAATATAAATGTTTGAAAATTGTGTCTTTCTAATAGGTATTAATTAAGCTGGTTATCATGTTCTTGGTTCATTGGATTTATGCTTTAGCCACAATTGTGTCGGTGGGAGTAATTTTTTATTATATTGGCCACGTGAGTCCGGGTTCTTATCGAGGTAAGTTTTCAAATTTTTTTTAAAAATGAAGAACGTAATTTTATATAAAAATGACATTTTGCAGGAGTGTCCGAATTTAAATTCTTTCAATGGATTAAAAATTGTTTTTTTAAATGCAAATGGTAAGTCAAATCAAATACGTTTTAAGTGTTATTATTTTCTAATGACATTCGACTCTGTTTTTAGTTGCGGGTCTAGCAGCTACGACCAAATTATAGTTGCTACCTCTCAACCGGAAGTGGAAGTATTGGCGGCTCAACTGACAGAAGAGAATTCGGACTACGCGTCCAGAGAACCCTACCATCATTCCATGACTGTAAAGACACTGTCTCAGCATCACATAGACAGCGACTAAAAACTCGGGAGAATGCATTTATTTTTTCTTCCATAATCTTTTGAATTTTTATTTTTTATTTGAATTTGTTAAACAGAAAATAAAAAATATATTGTGTACTTATTAAACATTTTAAATGGGTTATTATAGATGGTCACAAGACATAATTTTTAATTACATTTTGAAACCTGTGCTCTCAGATTTTGACTGGGCTAAAATTTATTCGTCTGCTTTCCCGTATGATATCCGTGGAAAGTCAATTGAGAAGACACAACGTTTTTAGTTATATTTAAGAAAAAAACTGGCCACAAAAGTACAAATCTCTTATCGTATCTCGAAATAATATTGTTTGCAATAATTGCGATTTGCTCAAATCTTAAAATTAAAAATGTACAGGTTGACCATCACTAACCTGGCATCGTTGAAACCTGTGCTGGATTACTGATGGTTAGATTAAAATACGCTTAACCTAACATCTAACTACTTCATCCTACCTTTTAAAATACCCTCTAAAGCACTACAAGTTAACCATTAATAAAGAAAAATAAACATTAAATGAAAATTCTTGTCAAATTATTGTACATCTGACAACATGTAACACTCCCAAAACATAGAGGCATGTTAATACGGCAACCTGGAAAATTTGAAATCATGCTAACCGAAATTAGTCAGTGATGCCAAACTTAAAGTTCTCCCTAAATTAAAGACAAAATCAGCAGGATGAGAGAAATTTGAGGGAGTAGTTTAGGGAGAAAATGTAAAGTCTGCCCATATTGGTTAGTGGAGTTTTGGTGACGAGTAGGAGATTCCAAAAGTCACACGACTCGTGAATGTTCTCGCAGCAAGACGCAGAGCAGGTCACGTCATCACATGATGCTTTGCTCAACTGTGCCCACGCTTCCTGCGTCCTCGAATGAAAATTTGTTTCTCTGAATTGTCAAAAAAATAATAATTTTTTTATATGCATTGCACCTGGACCAAACTATTTAGGGGGAACTATTTTAGAGGGTTTTGACAACAAAAGGTAGGCAACACCGAATTTAGTGCTGGATCGGTGATGGTTGACCCGTAACATATAACCCATTTAAATTATTAATATAACACAATATATATTTTATTATTTAAGGTCACTTTGCCACTTATTTGAAGAATTAAATTCTACGGTATTTTTGTCATTTTATCACTGCTGTTATTATCTAGTCATATTTTGTGATGTATAATTGTGCAATAATTTTTGTCATTAGTTGTTTTTAAACGCAAACTATCAGAAGTTATGGGAAAACTCTCTATAATAAATTGTGCAATATATTTATCAAACAGTAGTGAGAATCTTGTAAAAAAAAAAAAGAAGAAAAAACAACAAGACAAGATTTTAAATTATAGAACAACATATCAGTTCCTTATTTTATGAAAATCTGTAACTATATTAATGGTAATCGATCATGATCCATTGACTGTTAAGACAATCCGTATTCTAAGATTATGTTTTATGTTTCTATAAAAACATATTTATTTACATTTTGTTTTTCTTTTTGCTTTGTTTTGCATAGTAAATATTAATAAATATTTGTAGTAAGATGCAGCAAAATTTGAATTTCTTTTTGTTTTTTTTTTTTTTTAGGTGAAAATTAATTCACTTGAAAAATAATTTATTCACTTTGCAATGAAATTTAATATACTTATTCGTTTTATTTAGTTAACGGTAAGCGATAAAAATTCAGATTTTCTTCAAAATCTCTTTTTAAATCTTCTCTAAAATTATGTTTTCTTATAAAATTTAAACATTATCAAGTTATAAAGATGAAATTTAGATTTTATTGGCAATTAACAACTACAGTTCAGTCTTGTAGGTAATCTCCATCAATGTAAGTTGCATCTCGCCACCTTTGCTGCAAACTTTCAATCCCGTGTACATAAAATGTCTAGGGATTTTCTTTGAAGGAAGTCTTGTGTTGGATATTGTCGTTAAACTGTGTGTTGGCAATATGGATCTTCAGGGCATGAAATAGAAGGTGGTATCAGTTAGTGCCAAGTCTGGCTGTAAGATGGATGTGGCAGAACCTACTGGCACTGACTGACGGTTTCTAAGATCATCTTTACTCTGTGCTGGCATGCTGTTGTCGCAGTATTAAACTTTGTCAGTTTTTGGACAGAATTCTTTGATTCCAATGTTCAAACGATCCAGTTGTTCACGGTAGAACTTTTCTCATGGCAGTGATGTTGATTGGAAGCAGTTCCGTCATGATGCAAAACACCTTCTGTACTATTACCCTATTTATGTACTTACTTCAGACATTCTACATTTTGTTTCCAGTCATTTCTAGGAAAAAACCAAAATGTCTAAACTTTGCCTTTACAACCCAATATTAACGACAATTATTTAATTGCACAAATTATACTGCATATTTTATGACATATCACCTGTCCATTAAAAACAGGTATATCCAGTTATATCCAGGTAATTCCTATTCAGTGGCTAAAACCACTGAACACTGGTAACTAGTTGCGAGTTCGAGCCTGGCTTCAGAGTTTTCCAAGTTTTCTTCTCACATATAACACCTAAAAGGGACCAATTTCCCATAGAACTCCTTTTGGGAGGCACCGTGTTGACAGATTGTTCGTGTTTTGTATTGCCATATCCCGTCATTCCTAATTTTGATTTATTCTAATGCAAAGGACCAAATGGCTATTTGTTTTGTAAAATTCATTTCATAACAATATCCATTCTGGACCAGATTATTTATAAAGTCAAAATTCTTTTCAAATTAAAATAACAATTTAGGAAGCAAGGCAAAGTATGCGACTGTCATTTTACATCATTTTTTGTCACTGATAATTGAAAATGTTGTAATCATTCGGTGAAATATTTGTATTGCTAAGTTGGTTTGTCTTATACAAATATTTCTTATTTTAAAATAAAATCCATGAATTTAATGTTTGCCCAGACAAGTAGCAGTGTATTGCGAGATATGAGAATTTTCACGTGACATAGATACTGCAAAATCTTTGTCTGGGCAATAAATCCATCTAGATCTCCCTGCTGTCTTTATGGACGTTTTCTTGTATTGCAACCCAGTGGAGCACTGGAACAAATGCATGTCTTCACACAATTCAGGTGACTAGTTGTGCAGACTTCTTTGATTAGTTTCTATGCATGCTCCACAGAATGTTTTGTCAGTTCTATCAGGCAACAAAGTTACAAGTTGTGTAACTTTTATTTTTATCCTGAATTAGTTAAAGAATTTGGTGTCATATGCTCCGAGTTTCCCTAACAGTTCATAGGAAGCTTCAAGAAGAAGCCTCTTTTCTGCCAAAGAATGGATCCACATTTTCCTATCGGTGTTTTTCTTCATCTACAACACGCTAAACAAACTGCAGCAACTTTCTTACATACATTTATCCATTGCATTAGACTCAAGACTTCTCCCTTTCAACCCTGAAAAGAGACGTCTTGAGGAAACTCAAAACATCATAAGTTCAATTTACACGAAGTACAAGTAGCCAACATCACATTGCATGCAAACCTGTATTGTCAGCCACTTAACAATTTACACGAGCACGTTGCCAACTTCCTGTCACGAAACCCCCTAAACAGACCCGAAATTCCCAATTGATCCACTTTAAAACACTCATAATTAGAGGACCGCTCTGCAAAACTGATATGCTTTAGTCGGCACAAATTTGTTCTCAAGCTTCGACATGTGGCGCTAAGAACAGCAGTTCGGTACAACGTAAAAAAATGAAGCCTGCAAGTAATATAGCAGTGAATCATTTTAGCCGTTAGTGAAGTTCTGTACGAGGCGAGTTCGCAACCAACCGTTCAAGCAGCCTTTATTCAAAACTCATTATCATAAATTACGGTACATGCTTGTCTCTTGTAAATTATGTGAAAATTTTGAAATAATGGATTTAAAAAACAAGCCATTTATGTAATCCCTCTGTTAGATGGCATAAAAATCCCATTGACTTGATATCTTGTTAATACACTTCCGGCAGCGCGAAGAAGGTCTTCGTTGATTAGCGATCGAAAACATGCTTCACGTGTTCCATCCATTAAAGTCATCTTACCATAAAACCACCCGGAAAATACACAATACATTCCTTGTCTTCCGCGGGGCATAATCGTGCTCGTCGTGGTGCCCTCGTTCAATTTGTTCTGGAGTGCCCAAAAGTAATAGCAGTCGTCTCAGTTCCTGGCACCGATTAATTTGGACATGACGTCTTTTGAAATTGAAAGTTTTTCAGTTTTGCAGAACTCAAATCTTTTGCCATTTTCTAATAATTAAAAATATAAAAACGTTTTATGGCAAAATCTCGTAACAGATGGCGCCACATACAATTTCTTTTTTTATAATTAATAACTTTTACATGTATATTTAAGAGCCGAGAAAGTTACTCAACTCGTTGCTTTTTTAACTACGTAATTTATTTTTTATGTTAAAGCTTTCGTCTCAATTTTATGAAAGAAGCGATGAACGACGGCATGGCCGTCTACAATGTATCGGCGGTACGACAGTGACGTCAATCCAATGAAATTATTATAAAGGGCGAGAAATAGTACGTTAACGCCCAGTAATATTATGAATTTGTGCGACAACCGGAAATACAATCGCGAAAACTTTCGAGGCAATTTGCAAAGGGTTATAACCAAGATACGTCTCGTGCAATTTTTTTTCTTTTTTTTTTTAAATATATAATTTTATAACGTAAATATTTTTAAAATTTTTAATATTTCATTGTAAATAAAAATTTGTGGGAATTAAATTTTTTCAATCGACGTTAAAAAAAAAAAATAATAATAAATTATTTTTAAGATCAGAATTGGCAACACTGAAACGAACATTGCGGGAAAGTAACCACGTGTGTTAACAGGAATCGTTCGCGGAGAAGAATTGTTTTCTCTTTTAGATTTTTGAAATTAACGTAAAGAATGCCGAAAGGGAAAGGAAGCGGAGGAGCAAAACCTAAGGAAGTTAAAGAAGAATCATCATCCAAAGGTTCTCAAAAGAAGCAAGGAAGCGGTAATGCTGTTAAGGTCGGTTTAATAATGTTTTTTATATTTAATTATTTTATTAATTATAAATAAAGTTATGACAGAGTAGATTTGTTTGTTAAATAGGTGAGACACATTTTATGCGAAAAGCAATCGAAAGCCTTAGAAGCAATGGAAAAATTAAAATCTGGAATGAAGTTTAATGAAGTAGCAGCACAATATAGTGAAGATAAAGCTAGACAGGGAGTATGTTGTTTAAATTTCTATGTTGTTACCTTGGTAATTATTGGGCAATTTTTGCAATTTGAAAAAATTGTAGACTAAATTCTCACCGTCGTCTGTTTGGCTGTCTGTCCTTCCTTAATCTCGAGAAACGGAGTTAGTTAGACGAAAGCCGAGACCGCGGGACATATTCCGAGTTCTTCCAATAACTCGACAAAAGCGATACGTGGGACGTTCGATAAGCCTCTTTGGCAAAAGGTAGTTAATTAACCTTAGACAAATCCCTATTCTCTGCTCCATGCTAAGTAGGTTTCCTTATGGGTAATCGGTTGAGATGTGTCTGGGTTTCGTGTTATCGATAACTGTTGGGCTTTAATCAGTCATAATTTAGTTAACGTTGTCTTTTTGTCACGTGACTGCAACTCGTCATTTTCGAAGCAAAGCACGTGTTTTTAGTATCGTGTATCGGTGTAAGTCAAATTTTGTTGTTAAAATGTCATCAAAGGAACGATGCAGTCGGCAAACTGCAAGTCGTCAGTTTGAGATGTTAGTTAAAACACTTTGGCTCTAACTTTTCTCGTAAGTCATTGCGTAAATGTAATAGTAGTGGCTTCGGAAGACGATAGAGTTCTATAAAGTGTGTGTCATTTGGCTGAAAAGCATTTCCTCGAAGACGAAACTGAGATTTGCGACGTCAATCAGTTTTAGTAATATCATCCTTGCACATAAAGTCTCCTTGTTCTTTTTACTTTTGTTATGTTCCTAAAGGCATCTCGAGAATGTTTGATAAGAAAAGCTTAGTTATCACACATGGCTATCGGAACCAAAGACAGAACATATAGCACAGAATAGCATTTTCAGTTGTTTAATACGTTGACTGCCAACTACGAGATGACTCATAGTTTTCATTACTGCCTAGGACGCCAACTACGAGTTATATCATAGTTTGTTTCCTTGCTATATTTGTGCAGCTACAATGTAATTTGTGTAAATATGAATAGATAGCCTCAGGGGCAAGAACAAAAAAATCAGGTTTGGCTTACATGAACAGAACATTTATTAATAAATGAACAGAAAATATAATCATAAAAAGTTTATTCAAAATCAAAAGCAAAATAATATTTTTATTGTTTGTGATAATTTTTAAAACAATCTTCCACGCAAAGGGCTGGCTTCTCTGGACAGAAATAATGTGTTTCTTCGCTTTGGTACAAATTTGACATGGCTTTGTTGGATGCTGTTTTTTTTTCAGTAGGTGGGATACTCTGTAAATAGTGAAACTCTTGCAATCTAATTTTTTTTGAAACTGGTTGAATCTCTTCTCCGATTAATGCTTCGATGAATACTTCTCTAAACTTTATAAGTTTTATTTTAGAAGAAATTGCTTTTTGAAAGAGTTTGTGCACATTGTGTGTGTATATATACTGTATATATAAAATATGTAATGCAACCTTTTTGGGCCATATAATATAGTCTTTCTTAGAGCTGTGTAGTACGATAGCATTTGATCTGATCGGTCAATGCCATAGATTCCATGAATGTAATCTCAAATTATATTTGGTTTCATTGAACATTTTCCATTGCGATTGAATACCTCTACCATTTCAACAATGTGCATGTTTGAAATGGTAAGGACTTCTCGTTTGTCATTCCATTTACATTCAGTAACAGGACCATTTCGCTGCCAAATAAACCCCCCTTTTTCAGTTATCAATTTACCACATCTTTGGGATTTCCCTTTCTGTTATTTTGTAGAGTTCCCTACACACAACTTTTTTGTGTAGTCAGTAATTTTGTAAGAGTAACAGAATTATAAAAATTATCCATGCATACTGTATATCCCTTATCAAGATAGTCCTCAAGCAAGTGTAAGACAACATCAGTAGTGTGGCCTAAATTACCGACAATTCCCTCAGATTTTCTGCTGTAAATTGTTATTTTCATAACAACACTATCGGATTCACATACTTCATACAGTTTGACACCATATTTGTGTTTTTTATTTTTTATGTACTGGTGAAAGTGCAATCTTCCAAGCTACAACATCATTGATTCATCGATACACATATTTTTATCATGCACATAGTTTTGGTGCATAATATTATTGAAATGATTTAGTATAGGTCGTACCTTATATAATCAGTCGAAAGATGGTATTGAGCTATCAACTAAATGAAAATAACACAGTAACAAATTGGAATTTATTTTGGCTCATATGTGATCGCCAAAACATTTATATTATACAGTTTGTTTGTACTCCAGTAATGTTCTATTGAAGGAAAAGAACAAGGGCCCATTTCTTATACAAGTCCAATAAAACCTTTCATTTCTGCAATGTTGACGTCTTTCCACTGCGATACCTTTTAGATTTTTTTATTTCTTTGTTTTGCAATTTTTTACGCAGCATACAAATTTGTTTGTTCGACCAATAATGCAAGAAATTCTTCTGAAAAAAAATAAGTCCACCAGCATTTGCACTGTAAGATTTGTCGTATCCAATTTCAAACCAATATTTTCTTTGAAAATAAATAGTTCAGGAATTTGTTGATTTTCTGTCCACAAATTATCGTTTGGATTTGATGCGATTGCTTGAGATGCATCGTGATTGCCTTTAGGTTCGAGAATAGTCTCATCTTCAGGTTTGGAGATGATTTCATAATCGCTGTCCTCACTTGAATCCTCAGAAGGTACATAATCACTACTGTAGTTACCATCCTCACCAAAAATTTTGTCGGATTCTGAATCACTTAGATTAGTGTAGTAATCAAGTTATTTTCTAATCAGTAGTCTTTTGTTATCCATATTGGGGTATTTATAATTTGATTATAAAAATAAGTAAAAAATAACACATTCAAAAAAGACATAAATGTGATGTGTTCAACTCTATATCTGATTTATTACTGGCGAATTTAGACGCACATCTCTGATTGGCTGTAGCGAAGTGACAGGACGAATCGTGTCTGTGCATGAATTAACTCGTAGTTTGGCTTTAGCGAAGAGCTTTCTGTTACGTAAGCCAGCTACGAGATAATTCGTAAAATCTTTTTTTAAAAAAAAAAAACACATTCTATATGTGTTTTGATTATTACTATGTACTCTGATTAGAGTTTTTAATAATATAATATAATTAAATTAAGTTGGCATTTTACACCGGAATCCTGAAAAGTCACATGGCAGTCAACGCGTTAAATGCCAACCACGTAGTTCTGATAGAAACTGGTTTTTGTCATATTCATTAGCTTAATGATACAACTCAGAATAGGCCTCCAGATGTGGAAAGCATAAGAACAGGAGGCTCCAGTTAATTATATACGAACTTCCAGTGCAAACTGGAAGTCGTGTTATTCCAATTAAAAAATTTTTCCGTGGATGGAGTTAGACAGACGACTGGCATGACTATTGCTAACAGGAAAAGTATGATGTACAGGGCAAGACACTACATAATTTGAGATGGAGAGCATTTTTAAGCTTGTTAAGTATCATTATGTTGGACGGTGGATACATACAAAGTGTGTCGTGACATTACTCAGTCATATGACTACATCAAAATAGTACTCGCCTAAACCACGTGGCATATCCAATGTGTTTCTGCATAACTTATTCTTCTTACAGAAAATGCATAACGGTCTTAATGTAAATAATTATTGTTATCTTTATCGACTTACCTGAGACATCACTTCTATAATGTTCATTGATAGAGAATGTGGGTATAATTATGACTATATAGTCGGTCACAACTATGCTCATCGTGGATGGACCTAGCCTGAAATGGGATTGGCAATGTGCCTGAGAAAAGAGGGAATAGCAATTCGATCAGTACTACTTGTGAAATTCTCAAAATCGGTTAAGCAGTTTTCAACAAAACCAGTCTGAATTTGGTAAAATTATTATTAATGCAATGCAATAGTAAAACATTAAATTACTACGGTAAATATGTCTCCATCGTATATTATTTGTGCCAAAAAGCAGTCTGTGTTTCTTTGATGTTAAATACTTGCTAAATGCTGGAATCTAACAAATAACATTTGAAAACTTTATCATAAATTAATTTTAAAATAAGAATTTTCGCATTAATTTTAATTTTAAAATTTAAATGCATTTAATGCACAGAGCAGCGTAACCTCTCTCCCTATCCTTGGCAGGCTTGCCAAGTGCTATTGGCTCCAAGCCTTACCTTCCACGCCTTTCTCTCCAATCTTCTCTGAATTTAAATGTTTTTTGAGAGCCAACTTCTGTCCAGTCAGAAAGACAATTGCACACAAAGCTTGCTTTTATATCCATGCTAACCCAAATGTGGTTGGTCATTCTCCCATCCATTTACTTGTTTGTTTATTGCTGTTTTCCCGGACCACACCTGGATCAAATTTAACAAATCACAAGATTGCTTTGTTTCTCTCTTCTCTTCCATAATAATATTTTACAGCAACGATATTACATTAGTGCACTCATTGTAAACTTTCATTCAATTCCAATGTCTCCTCCTTGATGTCTGTATGTATATATATACTGGATTATAAGGTTCTTTTTTATATTATCCAGTAAATTTACTTTTTTCTACAATAGGGATTCTCAAATGTGACCAATTCTACACAATTTTCCAATCTAGAAAGCTGATTTTGTAACTTTTCACTCTGTTGTTTTGGATAATAAAATCTTAAATGTGAAGAAATAAAGAAACACTAACAAGAAATATTTATGTAAATGTGGTCGTGGGTCATTTTTCATAGCCACGCATATGGGTATGAAAACTTGTTTAATAAATTATTATGATTGTCGGTTAACAAAAAATATGAAGAACTGTACGATTCCCGGAAAATGGGATTTTTGTTTGTATATTTACAAATTTTTCTGTTTGGTTTTTGATAATGTATTTTATTAAATTTCAGGGTGATCTGGGATGGATGACGAGAGGCAGCATGGTCGGACCTTTTCAGGATGCCGCATTTGCACTGCCCGTCAGCAATCTACAGAATCCGACGTACACGGATCCCCCCGTCAAGACTAAATTCGGATACCACATAATTATGGTCGAAGGAAAAAAATAACGTTTTGCAAAACTGTTTAGTACAATATATATTTATTTTTTCCACAATAATTTACATATTGTTTGTTCCATTTTGTTTGTGGCACAATTACAAAAAGTAGTGTTACGATTTATAATTACAGTTTGAAAACAAAGTATTGAAATAATAACAATAAAACTGTTTACGTTAAGCGCTCCTGTAGAAAACGGAGTCGCCGACACTGCACGTTCGGAGAACATTCCAACAATAAGCATAACGATTACGTCTCTCAAATAATTACTATGCAAACTTCTAAAAATTTTGAAAGGTTAACAAGTTTATAAATAATTTGAAATAAATTAACGGGCAAAATACAATTACATTAATAAGGCATCGATATAACAACATAACCTTGTCGATAACTACATTTTCTCTCGCGGAGGCGTCCTACGGGACAAAAACCATTGGTGCAACAAACTTGTTGCCGTTTGATTTTTCCCCCAATCACAAATAATTAGCAGTAAACAAGTAAAGGAACATTCTATGACTATGACTAGAATGTATTGTCCCTCAAAGGAACGTTCGATATAAATATGGCCAAATATTTTTGTAAATTGCTAAGTTTTTAAATATAGCATCACAAAATGCAACAACTGTATACATCTATATTAATTACAAAATATTTTCTTTTGTAATAAAATGAGTTAACTATAAAACATCAACATTCACTTTACATAATTATTTTAAAAAAATTATATTTACAGGAAAAAAAAATATATATATATGTATGTAGCAAGAAAAACAGTAGAAAGTACCACTTTGGCTATAACTAATATACATAATTTATATATATTCTAATGACAAAGTTATGAACAATCTGTAACAACACTGTTTTCTACAGACTGCAGATTTGTGTATTACGTTCGAAGTTATATAAAAAAAGCTGTGAATTATATCGAGATTGAATGTTTGGCATGTGCACGATTTACAGCCTTAATCTCTATAATCAAAGTCACTTGTCAAAAAATATAATTAACATTGGAATGAGTATATATCACCGATAACAATGGGGGGAAAAAAAACTATATATAATGCTTTGTAGATAATCTCAATTTTTTAACAATGTATATGAAAAGAAATCATATTCAAATAATTACAGAATGATACTTTACAGCAAAAAATGTGTGTATACAAATGTAAAAAAACTAAGATTTATCTATTTGAATCCGAATACTTCCACAAAAGTGCAAGTAAAGTCGTTAGTGCTGCACAGCGGGTCGTTATTAAAGGTGGCGCAGGTTTCTGTCCTTCCGAATGTCAGGGATTCGTCGAGCCACAGACCTTGTCCTTCTCTAGATATAAATAAAATATTTTTAGCATTCAAATTAATGTAGCGGGGAACAAAACAGCAATTTTTATACGGTGTAATGATTATTATTATTGTTTAATTCAGTTTAAAAAAAAAAAAACACTTCCCAACTTATGGATACATTTTCCCCTCAAAAAGTATCTTATATCTTAATGGCCAGACAGGAGTAGAGGTTAGAATAAAAAAAAAGGTGTAGGAAATTTGTGTGTTATAATTACAGAACTTTCATTTAAAAACAAGTATTTCCTATTCCTTTTGTTGATTAATTTCAATTTGGTGCAACCCCACAAAGTCCTTATAATCCTTTAGATATCACAGTTACTGTACTGCCCTATTTTGAGATGGTATTCTTTAGACTGGCTGATCCAAAATACAGTTTAAAATATTTCATATGTAGCCATTTATATTTGTTTTATTTATATATAAAAGAATAAACTCCAAACCACCAGGTATGGTATGTTAATCTTATTTGTTTTCCAGTACAAAATGATCAATCTAAGCTAAGCTAAGCTCAGTTGCAAAATTGAAATAACCACTATGTTTTTAAAAATTTATTTTTATAAAAAGCACGCGGGTACCAGTTTAATTTTTATAGAAATGGTAACAAATATCTTTTATATTTGATGTAATATGTATGAGGAATAAAGAAACAAGGAGTTCTCATTCGTAAAATGGGATGACCACCCTCCCGTTTGTAAAAGTTCTCCATTTGTATCGTACCGAGTTAATCTGCAAATTAGGTAACGAGATAGTTTCATGAAATTTTCCGGAATAAAATTAGTTAAACAAGTGCTTGAAGTGTAAAGTTAGCTTCATTAACACCACAAAAAAACTTACTGTTGCTCGCACAGTTGATTACGAGTGCCATTTAAACAGTAACCTTGAGTTACTATAATACTTTGTTAGGTATAATAACTCTAGATAAGCATATGTAAATGTATCACATGCAACAATCGATTCATGCTTACCTAATTACTGGTCCACGTAAAATTATACTGGAAAAAAGGTTGAGAAATAGCAGGAAGGATTGGTCATACTCTATTCATGGTAAGTAACTTTTTGAAACTTGGAAATCTATTTAGGATAAGAAAGTTGTCTGGTAGACGAGAGAAGAGTTGTTACGAAACTCAATTCAGATGGAATATCTCTTGCACAACTGTCCTATAATCCAGATATACACAAGTCTACATTATCAAGAGTTGTCAATTGTGACAAAATCCTTAAATACAAAAAGAAAATACAACCACTTTAATGAAGAACATCACAAGAACAGAAGAGTGACCTGGGCAAAAGAATATGTGTATTGGAAGAATGAATGGAGGAGAGTTGTCTTTAGTGACGAGAAAAAATGGAAATGGTCCCAATGGCTTGGCATTTTACCGGCATAATTTTAGAAAACGAACCAGAAGAACCATATTTTTCTAAGCGACAGTGCAGAGTAGCTTTGGTTATAGTGGTAAAACAAATCTCACATTCCTTGTAAGTTAAATGAAAGATCTTTTAAAAGAGAACCTTTTTGCCATTTGGGAAGGTAACTGGTGAACCATTCGGGACATTTCAGCAGGAGAATAAAACCATAAATGTTGCAAAGTCTACTTGAGAGTGATTCTTGGAAAGTGGAGTTTATGTTTTGGAACAGCTTGCCAATTTTCCAGGCTTAAATTCTACGGCAAATCTCGCACAGGACCGTACGCCAGTGATAAATAGTACAACATTGAAGAAGGCAAATATCACTGCATGAACATCTGTATGTTGCAGAAGTTTCTGAAAAGCATGTGCAATTATGTATTTAAGTTTGTTTTGAAAAATGGTTTATTTACTGGATATTAAAAGGGGTGGCCTTATCATTTTGCAACAAAATAGTTGCTGTTTTTCTTTTAGTAGTTTTCCCCTGTGAAGTATACTTATTGCGTTTAATGTATTTGTTTAAACCGTTTGTTAATGTTTCTAAAAATTACATTTACAGTTACTTGTGTCTTACAGTATGCTGAAAAAATATAGTGGTCATATCAGTTTGCAACTGACCTTACATTATGTCCTTTGTTCATAGTTACAAATCAAGAAACAATCCTTCAGTTAATAAATATCAACCAAGCTTACATTAAACTTTATTAGAATAAATGCTTACTGATGCTGTTTTTTTTTAATTTGTTGGTTTCTGCTTATCTAACGTAAAGTGTCTTTACTAAGCTAAAAATGTAAATATTGACTATGTTAACCTTCCACTTTCTGCACATTATGAGGCAGGAAATTTAAATAAAAAGATTGTGTAATAGAGTTATTGCTATTTTAAGAGAAACAAAAAAAAAAAAAATACAACTGTTAAAGAAGAAATTCTTACCCCGATCCTATGCAGATCATCGAATTAGAAGCACACATAAATAGTTGTTGGGCAGGAGTTAAATGATTTTCATGATGTTCCAATCCTATCCAAGGATATTTTTTAGGATTAGGTGAAAAACTGTAGAGAAACGATTCTCCCGTTCCAAAATATCTTTGTCGATTTCCTTTGTTGTCCTGCTTGTGTCTAGTGGCCCAGTCGCTGGAACAATAAGCTCCAAAAACCTACGTTAAAATTTGTATATGAATCTTTCATTGTTCGAATAATCTTTATGATTTTATAAGTATAGTCTCACCTCGTTTTTGTTTGTCTTTACGATAAGTATTGTGGGTTCCCAAGAGTCAACCTTCATGTAAAATGCAGTAAGACAGCAGCCGTGTTCGTTTGATGAATATACTAGTTGAGGCATGAGAATAGTTATTCGTGAAGGTAACCAACTCCAAAGAATTGCAATCTAAGAATTTAAAACAAAACATTTTCTCTCTTTCCCATAAAGTTAATTTAAATCGCTGCGTGTTAATTACAAAGTCTGACCTGTTCTTGAGACAGTATGTCCGAAATAAACTTGCCGAGAGGAGCCGTTCCTATGGGGACTGCTTTTCCGTTTCCGGTTTCCTACATAAAATATTAAAAGAACGAGTATAAATAAAGATGTAAAATAATAAATTATAAAAATCTAGTTTAAAAATTTATATATGACATTTAAAAGTAATATGATATGGACAATAGAAAACTGGTAATTCAAAATTACCCTTAAAATTGTATCTATAAAACAAGTGCTGTAATTTTCAAATTAATAAGCAATAATCAATAAAAAATGTATTATTATAATATATTTAAATGATATAAAGCACAAAAAGAATTCAATAGAGCAGTTACGTTACTAAACAATGGGGTTTGCAGTTATCTTTACAATTTTTGATAAATGGATTAATTATCTCGAGGTTTTGCCATATTAAGGCTGGTCACAACTCCAATCCACATTACCCAATACCAGTATAACGAAGGTTTAGATTAGATTTGAACCTGTATTTCCGCGGTAGTAGATAAAGTTTGTCGAGGAATGTTTTAGCAATTAATTTTTAAACAACTCTGACTTACGTAGAGGCTACATTACATAAAGCAAAATAGATGTCTTACGTACACATACGTAAATAACAAAATAAAATCTGTTAATTTTTTAATTACAAGCTCTTATGACATAGGGTTGGACTGATCATCTGGAAATCCCAGCAGGGCCTTAAAAGGCTGGTTAACATGGTGTTGGAGTTTATGAGAAATGCATAATTTTAGAACCAATTAGAAATGTTCTTCATTTAAAAACTTTAAGCAGAAGATATTAATTACTCTGTTCAATTGAAGGAAAAAAATAATAAAAATGAGTCTCTTCTAAAAAACTGTAAAAACAAATTTGGGTTATTAGTTATGAAGTCCGAACACCTTAATACGTTCTGCCGATTTGGCGGCGGAATGCATTAGGGCATCGTTTCTGTTTGATGGATTGTGGGTTCGAATCCTGCTTCAGTCGAGGATGTTTACAACCATCAGATTTTAGTTGGGTCTTCTGTTTTGTAGCAATACATACACACTAAATAAAACAAGCCAGCTTCATAAAATATTCGCATCCTGTAAACTTTCAGTAATTGTCTACATAAGTATGAATTTACAGAAGTGAAATGCTTGTAATGTGAGGAAACCTGCATTTCATTACCATAAGAATATCCAAAGTATTTAATTTTTAAGGTGTAAATTGATAAATTATGATAAGGTATTTATAAAATGTGATAAACCTGCTTTAAGAATGTATTAAATTAATAATTTCTGTTCCGATATCAATTCTGTGTTTTTTTTATCTCGTGAATGTTAAGACGACCTTTATTCGTACCGATACCATTGTGGATTTGCCCGTAATTGGGAGACTGGGCAGCGAGGAAGAGAATCCAAAGCATCCGGACCAGACCATCCATTAAAATTCCAAGAATCTAGTTTAGATTCTACGATCCTTCAGAGTCGAGGCTTCCTTTTGTCCATCCGAAGTCTCCGGGTTTCGGACTTACCGATATTCATTTGGACTCTCGACACAGAATTGAGAAACTATCATGTTTAATGTTCTTATTAATTTGAAAATTAATCATGTTTGTTTTATTTATATTATTTTAAGAATAATTAAAATTACTCATCGTTTATATATAAAATCACTTATCAGTTTCAATGTACATTAATATAAGGGAGGGTCAAATGAAAACACAAACTTTAGAAATTTAGTTACATCTGAAAAGAAAAAAAGAACACTATTAATCTTTTATAATAAAATTCGTAAGCACTAAATTGTTTTTCTTAATAATTCAATAGCTTAACTAAAGCCAATAAAAAAAGAAAAGAAATACGATTTCTTATGAAATTAATGATTCTGTAATTACTTCCAGTTTTAAAAACTAAAAAACTTAAATTTTAATTCTTCTCTGTGGTGAAAATATTAAAAGAAAAGTAATTAGGATGTAGGATTTCATGATATAGGACTATATCCTGTGCAAACAAGATTACAACTTTCAAATTAGTATAGCTCACAGGCTACACAGAATTATTGAGACGTATCTTCACAACTTTTTTTTTTCTTGAAAAATTGAGGAAGGTAGCAGTACATTGCAAACTGGAATTGAAAGAGATATTCCGTAAGTTCTATTTACGCACTGCAACTATTAAAGGGACTCAATATGGGAATTCCTCGTAACCCAACACACATTCAAATGGTAGTCAAGTTCCTGGCATACCTTTTTCTTCAGAACTTTGTGGGTCGTGGATTCAAGAACTGCCGTAAGAGTTTGTCAGTGACCTTGTGTATGTTCCTCTGTCAGTAAGGGATTTTTCCACATTGAAGCAATGTGTAAGAGCTGTTAAATTTGTAACACTCGATATACTGAAAAATGTCGTGAATTTGCTCACTGTTTGAATTTGTGTTAGATTATAAAAGGGTAGTTGTGCAATTAAACTTCAAGGATTTCTCTTTCAATCTTTGTTTGCAATGTACTGTTTCCTTCCACAATTTTCCAAATAAAGAAAAAAGTTGTCAAAGGCTTTTGACGAACCCTGTATCATATTTTATCATAGATTATAAATTTCAAGTTATAAGTGTGGTAATACAGACATGTCAAGAATGTCCTGTGGCATAAATATACAGGGTGTACCAGAAACACTTGACAGTTTTTAAAATAAAATAGCACTTTAGAGAACAGCTTAAATATTTATTGCTTTCACAGATATATTTTTCAATGGAGAATGAATATGTATCATTGTTATTTCTTGAAAATAACATTTTGTAAATGGCCACCATTCTGATGAACACATTCTTGTAGTTTGTATGGAAAAGATGCCATAACTTGTTGCAACATGTTTTGTGGAATCTCCCAAAGGCATCAATGAATTTGACCCTTCAGCTCGTTGATGCCGGTGGGACACATCTCAAACTTTATGTTTCGGGTAGCCCCATAAGAATAATCCAGTGCCGTCAGGTTTGGCAAGTGAGCAAACCAGTGGATGTCTCCAAAACAAGAATTGTTGTTACCTGGAACATTTCTTGCAGAACTTCCATGGAATGATAAGCCCTATGAGCAGTTGCTCCATCTCACTGGAACCAAAGGTGATGAGGAGTGGCCTCCTGATTTGGGAATGTTTGCATCGTGGCTGTGTAGGCCAGCGGTTACTGCAGAAGTATGGCCCTCATTTCCAAAAAATACAAACCAATAATGTGGACAGACAAAATGGTGCACAAAACATAATGTAGTGAATTATGGCATTCTTTCCAGACAGACTACAAGAATGTGTTCATCAGAACGGTGGCCATTTACAAAACATTATTAAACAAATAACAGTGATACACATTCATTTTCCATTTAAAATATGTACCTGTGCAAAGCAATAAATATTTATGCATTCTCCTGAAATTTTATTTTATTCGTTAGACTATCCACTGAATGCGTCTGTACTGCACAATACTCTCGGCACATCTGTTATTTTCACTACACTTTTGATAATTTGAGATTAAGGATAATAGATTTGGCTGTTGGCGTCACATCTGAATCGTATTGACCTTTCTAAAAAATATTCAAGTAAGAGAAAGATCTAAAGTTGGGACACAAAATCCTATAAATATTGTTCTAATTTGTTAAAAGACTTGTTTAATAGTAAAGTCATGACTTGTTTTTGTTTGTGTGTGTCCGCCGAACTCTGTTTCCATTAGAGAAATCTATTTAACATTCTTAGCAGTAGATTTTGATGGCACTAATTTAATATTAAATGATTTATACACATCAGATTTAATTTTATTTTCAAGCTTTATCTTCTGTTGCATTTTTAAACATTTAAAAATATTTATATTAAAGTGAAAATCATCAAGAGAGATTATTATTTTCTCTCTGAAGAAAATATCACTTAACAATTTTCAAGAGTTCGAACTTTAAACTCTTGAAAAATGCTGAAAATTGTTAAGCAATATATTCTTCATATTAATATAAATGAAGTTGAATATGTTTCTTGTCTGCTACTGTCTATTTTTTGGAATTTTTTAAATTTTAACAATTTCTGAGTGCCGTCTTCAAACAAACTCCGTAAGAATAGAGAACTTTAATTAAAGTAAATAGAGAATTAAAGTGGGCATTCTAAATTTCTAAATCTGTTTTGTCTTTACACAAATAAATTTAAGACCCTCGTTGAGGATGTAATGTACTTAAATAAGAAGTTTACTCTTATTAAATATATATATTACATCCTCAAACATCGTAAACTTGAATACTACAAAATTTGCCACTGAAGACACTTCATTTTATTTAATTAATTAATTTAAATATGAAGTGTTCTTTTCTTTTTGACAAATTTGTTGAAAATTAATAACTAAACTACATACTTACTGTAACAATTTCTTTTTTTTTGTATATTACCATTCCATTTTAAATGCAAACTTTCATGACAGCATTTAAATATTAAACAAATATCAAATAATATTGCAAGAAATTAGCCAAGAAAGGAAATCCACAGATTGGGATGAGTCATTTGAATGAAGAAAAACCATTCAAATAAACCCATCAGTATTGTTATTGTTTAAAACTATTAAGGAATGTCATAAAATTTAAAACAAAAAAGAATAAATCAAATTAAAAAACAGAATAAAAATAAATCACTTTAAAATTTCCTTTTCTGTGGGACATGTCAAAAATCTCCATACATAGACGAAGAGCTTACTTTATTATACAGTCGCCTGTAAGTAACAAAATGCCGTACACAGAGCATAAGTAAATTTTCACTCGAATGCATTATTTCAGATGGTATACATTCTATAGCTTCACTTATTACACCGCAGTCTTTGAGTTTCCCCACAAATGAAAATCGGGGATCGGAAGACTACGGGACCAAGGCAAACAATCTTATAACTTCGAAAGCTGCCAATCTAGCAACTGGTATGCATATGGAGACTTTTAACTCGTCCTGTAAAATGAAATACCTAACGTTGTGTAATGTATTTCAAATGAAAGTATTAATATCTAAATCTTTTCTCCCGTTCACAAACAATATTTTAAATAAAAAGTACTTATTTAAAAATAAATATAAACAAAAGTAAAATAATAATAAAAAAACATATATAAATAAATTTTACTATATAGTTACGTTTCGATACATATCATAAAAATTGATTTCCTAAATGATCAGTGTTTTCTTCAAAAATGAAGAGATTTAATTTCTCTCTTCTCTTCAGTCTTAAAATATGAATAAATTTTCACAATTATGAAATGTTATTTAGAAATATCCAAATAAAATAATAATAAATTTGTATAAATTGTTAGGTTTTTTCGGTTTATCAAGTAGTTAGTGATAATTCTTAAAATTATTTTATGTGTAGGATGGGCAAGAAGTCACCGTATTTCCAATCGACGTACAATTATAATTAATTTGAATAAATTATTTTATGGCTACTCGTTGAGTGGTTCTTGACAAATAATGCCATTCACTAAGCAAGATCAAATTAATTTGGTGGTAAATGACGGCACACCTTTTGTATTTTTTCTGGCAACAATTTAATAGAATGGACAAACATTGTCACTTTTAGGACTTACCTGTTGCTGGAAAAAGTACAAAAGAACATTTACTGTAAGTGTTTTCAGCTTTGTCAGTTATAATTATTAATTTAGTGGATGTACTAGTTAGAAGTAGAATGATTTCTCACCCAATTTGTATATATTCTTAAGTTATTGTTATATTTTATGGATAAATAAGTTATATTAACATAGTTTTACTTTTTAATTGTACAAAAAACATTAAAATTACTTACATCTTTTATGACAATGTCTAAAGAGGATGTTTCGAGTCGGGAAGATGATTCTGATGTACGTAAACATTCAAGAGAAGCAGAGCGAACCCTTTTAATCTGGTGGCTTTTAATAGTCATTTGTGCTTTTAGTAATAACTGATTTACTACCGTTCCGCTAAGTCTTCTAAATCCATAGGCAATCTATAAACCGAAAATTAAATATATTTTTCAACATCTTAATTATAGTTATACATTAAAAACAAATAAATATAATGTAAATATACCTTTATGAACTTCTCCAATGGAACGGGAATGTCCAAGCAGAATTCGACGATTCTTTCTGAAGTACCACCTCCAAGAAATTCGCTTTTAATATTTCCTGTGAAAATTTAAAGACCTAAATGAGTTAAAATGTATTATTTTAAGCTGAAATATTTAGCAATTCTACAGACATTTGAATATATTGTTCAAATTAAGAACCAAAACATTTCCTTATATTTATAGGAGTCAACTTTTATTATTGGGTTAAATGTTTTTCGAAGCTGATCTACTACATTTTCAAATCCAAATAAAAAAAGTTTTCAATTTTAAAAAATTCTACGGAACATAAAAATCATAAAAATAATTAATGACAATTTAGGAATAAAATTAAATGCACTGTGGTATTATTTCATTGATAAGAACAAAAATAAATTAATAACTAATAGCGTAATAGTGGGTGACACTTGAGGTGTATAAATATACAAATTAGCCGTAGAGCTTAAGCTGTGGTAGTGTGTAGTATTAGTCCAGTGTTTCTGTTGTGTGATAAGATGTTTCAGCTAGTTCAACTGAATTGTTTATTGCGAGTATATATCCATCACTTTACATTTATAATATTTTAATTATAAAAATAGTTATTTTTGGTAAATTGTATTAGTGTTCCCAAGGCTAAGAAGTGATATCACGATTGTAAAACTATTACACTTGTGAGACATCACCTGTGATAAAATTGTGAATTCATCATATTTAATGTACTTTTATGATTTTATAATTTATATTTATGTATGAACACCAACCGAAGAAAAATGTATTGAGTCCGAAATGCATTTCGAGTGTTCTATATTACGTACTGTACATGTTAAAAGAGCCGTAATTTATTGTAGTGCTTTAATAATAAAATGTTAAATAATCATTAAAGATTTTGTGGATTAATCTCATTCACTGGTGTGATAAGCCTGCATGTATATATGTATTTGATCTAGATTAAGTGTTAAACAACATTAAGGACTAACAGCAATAGATTATTCTAATGTTTTAAATATTTATCAAAAAACAGAACAAGATAAAATATGGTAACTATGGAGAATTTAAGTAGAATTTTTAATCAAATTTCAAGCAACAATAACAAAAAGCATTTTACGTAAAAATAAATGCCGAGTAGGTCGCACTATTCGATAGACCTTCATTCCTAAATTGAACATCGAGATTCTAAATCTTACTTTGGGCAAAATTAATTGACTTTTACAATTCTGTATTCCCAGACACACTGTTTTGCTCGAATTTTGATGTTTGTATTTAGATTGCAAAAAACTAATAATTGAAAATAATACAACGTAAATGCTACAAGTATAATGATTTGTTGTACTTACCGTTATTTTTACATAATTTGTTAAAACATGACAAATTTTTTGTAAAAACTAAAATACAGTAGGTCAACCACTTTTATAACACAAACTAGCAGACCCCGCCACGCCTTGTTGTGGCTCAAAATGTATCTATTATAAATGTATAACACTTCCCCAGTGGGGAAAAATTTTTTCTTAGTGTACATTCTGTTGACGTACCCTATTAAAACGCAATCAAAAACGCAAAAACCCGCATCTAAAATAGTATAATAGAAGCCAAGTTTTTCAGAGTAAGCCTTAATCCTGTCTCTAACCCCCACGGGGAGAATATCAAAAAATTCCTTCTTAGTGTACATTCTGTTGACGTATCCTAATAAAATGCAATCAAAAACACAAAAACCCACATCTAAAATAGTATAATAGAAGCCAAGTTTTTCGGAGTAAGCCTTAATCCTGTCTCTCTCCCCCGCGGGGGGAATATCGAAAAATCCCTTCTTAGTGTACATTCTGTTGACGTACTCTATTAAAACGCAATCAAAAACGAAAAAAACTGCATCTAAAATGGTATAAATAGAAGCAGAGTTCTTTACGATAACCTTTTCCGTAAGGCTTACCGTAAAAAACTGTCCATCCCCCATGTTTAACGGAATAATATATAGCCTATGTCCACCCTGAAGTTCCATTCTAAATATTGGTGAGAGAATTTTTGAAATTGGATGAGTAGTTTCGGAGATTACCTGCTGCATACAAACTAACATACATACATACATACATACAAACATTACCTCTTTATAATATTAGTATAGATAACTGGTTTCTGGAAACTGTTAATTAAAGGAAATGTGATTTTTTTGACAAGTTCAATGTATCTTGAATTGAAATTATGTATTCCCCTAAAAATACAATTTGAACTATCTAATACCATGAAGAGAAGGAAAAGAAATCAGCATTCTGCAAAGACAAAACATTTTCGTAAGTCATAAAAATGAAGATTTACTATATTAATTAGCATTATGCGTACTCAAAAAATAGGATACAGTGTATATTACTCTATATTACAGTGAAACCTTGATGTAATATTTTCAGAAAGATCATTGAATATCTAGTCCCTGACAAATCCTATTTAAACTATGGAAATTAACCCTGCAACAATCATTCCTTAATTTATCATTTTCTTGTATTTATTGATCAGAACTTTTAGTCTTGACTAATGTCAATCCTAGATTGATTTTCTTAAGAATAGAAGCGACACCACACGCACAAATATTAACATGCATCAGTAGTAACAACAATGTTTTTGGAGTATGGTGTAATAAGCAACAGTTTGGACTCTATAATAACTGTGCCATCTTGCATTCTTCTTACTTTCCAGGGAAGAAGAGTGCAAGAGATGGAAGATTAAGAGAGCCTTGTGCAGCTGAAACAAACCTATCTTAGTGCACGTTGCCAGATCTGGCGACAGACTTAACAACTTTCCAGACTCCTGCTAGTGGCAAAACTAACAAAAAATACTATTTTTGATATAAGAATTTATTATGTTTTCTCTGGTACTAAATTCATAAGTGTGAATCATTTCACTTTGTGCTTTCACCTAGTAGAGTAGACACTATGTGGTTCAACATGTATGTTTGATCCTCTACACTGCTTTATATTATTAACATCAACTTTTAATCAAATTTTCTTATGTGTAAAAAGTTCACATTTTAAAAGAATGACTGCACATCATCAAAGAGGTTGAGAAAAACCCATCAGAAAAGAATATTATTGTAACTGCATGACTAGGACTGCCATCAACAACTCTAAATTATAAAAGAAAAGGAACATCAGAGGGAAGATTGATAAGTGTAAGGCCAAGAAGAGAAAGATGAGCAAGTAGTCAACTGGAAAATGTCCTACTTGCTTGGCATTACAGGCTACAGAATCATGCATTCCTGTTGATAGATGCATCCTGCTGGAAAAAAAATCTCTCAAAATAGCTGCAAAATTTGGAATTGAAACTTTATTTCAAGCAACACCATAGCCTGGTATTTAAGAAATTGACTGGGGAGAGCACTGTTGTGTACATCAGGGCTTCTTAAACTACGGGGGTCATGACCACATTTGGGGTCGCTTAACGAAATCTAGGGGTCGTGAGATTTTAATGCAAAATATTGAAAATAATTTGTGAGAGTTTGGAAATGGCAAACTTTGTGTCACAGGTTTCATAAGTTGCTCTTTGTGTCACTTCTGGTGCAGCGAGACAACGATTCAGCAACACTGATTGTAGTGTGAACTAGTGTAGTGTTGTCGCTTTTCAGTGTATTCAGTTGTCTCTGTTCCATTGTAACACAAGAGTGAACTGTGGTAGTACACCATTATTGTTTTTGCAAATTGGTATATATCTTTATTTTATATTTTTTTTGGGTCGCGAAAAAAAATCACAATCATAAATGGGGTCATGAATAAAAAAAGTTTAAGAAGCCCTGATGTACATCAATGCCACATATTGGGTTGTTCAGAAAGTAATTTCATTTTTTTCCGTGGAAAAAAGCACAATATTTTTTGTAAGCAACGATCAAAACTTTTATGAGTGTGAAAGCATGCTACTTACGGAAACGATGACGACAGGTGTTGTCATCATTTCTGGTAGTAGCATGCTTTCACATTCATAAAAGTTTTGATCATTTGCTTACAAAAACTGATCCAAGTAATTTTTGACATTGTCATTTTAAGTAAATGTCTTACAGTTAAAAAAAATTTGTATAGACCGAAACAAGTAATAATCTGAGTGTGCTCGATCTGGCAAATATGGTTGGCGCGATAGCACGTCC